CTTTCCATTTTGTAACACTTCGGTAAATACTGATGTTGGAAAGATGTGGTTCCTTGAATCTTTTGGAAGGTTTGCCTGACTTAAAGGAGGGCCAATCAAAACAATGGTATCTCTATCTTTATTTGATAAAGCAGTCCAAAGAGCTGGGTTGTTAGATATGTGATTAGTTAAAAAGACAGTAATAGAAATGATCTTGTAAACGTCATTATCCACTTCTGGAAATGTTTATAAATAAAAATGAAAACATAAAACATCTTTTAAATAATAGAACTTTTTTTGAATTATCACTACTGCTTTCAGAATCAGATTCAAATCTTAAAGCCTATAAAAATAAATATATTTAAATATATCTGGTGATATATTCAAATATATATATATATTATTTACAATAAATAAGTTGGCGCTGAGACTATTTTTTCTTACTGCTATTTTTTACAATTAGCTCCCATCCAAGATCAACGAGAATACGCTTGTTTTTTTCTTCAACAGCTTTTTTTAGTCTCTTCTTTTTTCGTCCTGCTGCGCCTGATGGCTGCTTCCATTTGTTGAAGAGTTGGTTGTAGATTGATTGGGTTTTCTTATTTTTCAAGTCACAAAACTTGCAGTACCTATTTGCAAGCCACAAAACTTCCAATACCTATTTGTAAGCTACAAAACTTGCTGTACTATATTTGCAAGCCACAAAACTTGTGGTACCTCTTTGCAAGCCACTAAACTTGCTGTACCTTATATGCAAGCAACAAAACTTGTGGTACTTATTTGCTAGTCAAAAAACTTGTTGTACTTGTTTTCAAGCCACAAAACTTGCAAAACCTATTTGCAACCCATAAAACTTGTGGCAGTTATTTTGCTGGTTACAAAACTTGCTATACTGTGAGCATTTTTACATTAATTTCATATTCCAATTATAAAAATTTAAAGTTCCCTGATATAACAACAGCAACTAGCTAGAATTTTTAATCTTTTGACAGTTCAATATTAGTTCCATCTTGTTTCCAATAAGAAATAGTGTAAATTCTGCCTTGTTATTCCTTGTTTACTTTTTTCAACTCTACCATCATAAATAGCAAAATGAAAACTTAAACAGAAAATTAACAATGAAAATATAAAAAAAATCTAATTACAAACAACAAACTAACACTTAGAGTATTGCTACAAAGTTAGTTTAATTGACATACTCATAACTTATACTTACAACCACTCATAATCACATACTCATAGCTTATACTTAAATCCTCGGAAAAGAAATGGTCGTAACGGTACGACCATTTCTTTTCCGAGGATTTCCACTTGTTAACTCTTCTATTTCAAACAATTTTTAATACACTAATAACTTATAATTCATTAAAAAAAGTTCATTAGTCAAATAAAAATTTATTGTGTCATTAAGGATAAAGTTAGAAACTTCCTACAAACACAAATCACTGCGTCTATCTTCAAACAATAAAAAACCATATCGAACTTATTTTACTATAATACTTGACTTGCTCTTTTAACAAAAAGCGATTCAAATGAACATATGTACTTGCAAATAAAAAGTTCCACGGTCATTTTTGATTAAACTAATTATTAATCTATTTTCAAAAGAACCCATTGTTAAATAACATTTGCTAGAATTTTTTAACCCTTTTTTTGCAAATCATAAGAAATATGAAAGCATTGCAAATCATAAGAAATATAAAAGCATTGCAGATCATAAGAAATATGAAAACATTTTTTTTTTTTTTTTTTTTCAATTTTTGTCAAGCAACCATTAACAATTAAAGATAATTTCCGTAAATATTAAGTACAAGTACATTTTATTATTTATAATAGTTACAAGACCGGAGAACCTGAAGAAGATAAAGTCTTTTCATCAGTAACCTTTGATAATAAAAATTGGAAATAATCGTGTATTGTTAGAAAAAATCATGTAAAGAATCGTGATTGGCAATAAGTTCGATTATGTTCTTTTTAAATTTTTGAGAGGTATTGGCTTCTTTAAGTTTACCACTCAGACTTGTAAAATGGTTCCATAGCATTGGGCCACGATAGGAAATGGCAAAGCTTGTAAGTTTTGATGAACGGAAAGGTTTTTTAAATCTTCCGGTAGATCGCGTGCTGTATCGGTTTAATGTTTTATGGAAAATATTTTCGAAAATCTTCGGCGTTTTTTTTGACTGATGCTGAAACATAAATTGTGTAATTTTGAAAATATTTAACTCATAAATATCAAGTGCCCTCATGCTTTTTAGAAGAGGTTTAGCAATTGTGAAGCGATTTTGAAAATTAATAATGCGTGCTGCATGATTCTGTTGTTTAAGGAGGCAGTCGAGTTTAGATTTATTTGTACTACCCCAAACAATATTGCCATAAGATAAATAACTATTTGCAAATCATAAGAAAGTTAATAGTTTAATATGTTAGTATTTTAAAACGTAAAAATCATTTATTATTTTAATTTTTTTTTTTGGGCATATTAAAAGAGTTTTATGTGTGCTAGCGTGCACGTTTGACACACAGAATTACGCGATCGCGTTTGTTTAGGGAAGAGTGAGACACAATGATACAAGTTTAGCCTGTTATATTTTGGTAAATCTTAAATTTAATTTATATATTTATATAGGGTATAAATTATTCTACAAATTATAGGGTTTTGCAAAGTTATAAGTGCATGTTTGCAAAGTTATAAGTGCACGTTTGCAAAGTTATAAGTGCATTTATAAAATTAATTTTAACACTTATATTTTAAATATCAATGGAAAGAAAAGTACGGAAAACAATTACAGAAGAAACTAAAAATACGATTATTTCAATGAGAAATTGTAAAAAATATTCAATCAAGGAAATATCCAACGCTTGTAATTTAACTCGAATCGCTGTTAGTGGTGTTATAAAAAACAGTGATAATAATATACCCTTCACGTCATCTACAGTAAAAAGAAAAGAAACGTATAAAATCAAAAATTCTATGAATACAAACATTGAACAGACAATATTTAATTTCGTGGTCTGTAACAATCCCGTAGTTCAAAAAGAAATTCAAACGCAAATTTTAGAACAACAAGGTAAAAACGTTTCAATCTCGTTTGTTTCTCGTAAATTAAAGAAATTAAATTTGACACGAAAAAGATTAGCAATCATTCCTCAAGAAAGAAACACCATGGAAAGAATAAATCAGAGATCAATTTTTGCGGCAGAAGTTGCTAGAATTGCTGATTCAAATTTGGTTTTTTTAGACGAAACCGGATTCAATAAACATACAGTGCGCTCATATGGCTATTCTCCAAAAGATACAAAAGCGTACTTGACAGTTCCTGCAAATAAAGGACAAAATGTTAGCCTCATGTGCTTAATTTCCAATTTAGGAGTTGAACGTTACCAATACAAAAGCGGCGCATACAATACACAATCATTTATTGATTTCATCAACAACAAACTAGTACCATTCTTTGCAGTAAATCCAAATAAAATTCTTATCCTAGATAATGCAAAATTTCACGAAACAGCTGCAGTACTTCAATTACTAAGAGAAAAATATATTACTCACTAGTTTTAAGTACCATACTCCCCTGAATTGAACCCAATCAAAGAGTTCTTTTCAATGTTAAAAATCCAATTTCAAATTCACGAGAAATGCTAATCCCGATATGCTGTTGAAGAAACTCTAGAATATATTTTATCACCTGATAATAATTATACTCAACAGTGCAATGCCTTTTATATAAATATGAGAAGATGGTTGGAAAAGGCGATAAGAAGAGAAGAATTTATCTAATTAAAATATTTAAAATGATTTATTTTTTTTAATAATGTATATTTTTGCATGCCTTTTTAAAATATTATGATTAAATAATGTATACTATTTTTTAAAAATTATGAAAGTATTTAATCTAGAAAAGTTATTGATATATAACAATATGCTAAATTAAGTAAAAATGTTAAGAATTTATTGAAGAATTATATTGATTGCTATGCTGTAATTTAATTTAATATTTTGCGCAATATTATTAAAGCTTAAAAAATAATTTCCAAAAAATGTATATGCACTTAAAACTTAGCAAGCGCGCACTTATAACTTTGCAACCGTGCACTTATAACTTTGCAAACATGCACTTACAACTTTGCAAAACCCTGTAAAACAATCGACTAAAAAAAGATGCGTAATAAAAAATTGTTACAATCAAAAGTGTGTACCATTACACACTTTTGATTGTAACAATTTTAAATTTTATCCCCACTTTCCTATATATAATTTAAATATAATAACAAAACCACAAACATAGTTTTGGCATAAAAATATTATTCCCTTCCACAATGTAGATTTCCAAGGAAAACGTAGAGTATCAAATTTCTCTATCTAGGAAAGTAAATTACAGAAAAATATTCGATATAAAAAAAAACAAATTTCAGTTTTTACACTTTGATCAAAAACTTATACTCTTTAACATTTAAAGATTAATAAAAATAAAAACTTTAATAAAAATGATGTATGTTAAACACCGATATTAGTCCATTTAGAAAAATTTTAATATTAATTATTAGTTATATAAATCATAAAATTATATTTCTTAATAAAATAAAAAAATACTGTTAAATTGTAGATACGGCCCATCAGAATGCTAACTAATTGGTTAGCATCCTGCAATCTATGAAATTGAACGGCATATAATAACAAGTGTTAAACATTACAACAGGTATTAAAAAGTTTTAATTTATTCATTTAAAATAAATTTACAAAATAAAAAGTAAAAAATCTGATGTAAAAAATATAAAAATCAAAAAATCAAAAACGAATCGACAAAAAGCCTACAAAACTAAGTTAAAAACTTTTTTTTTGAACTTTATTTAAAGGTTATAAATAAGAAAAATAATAAAAACTACCTAAAAAAGATTACATATAAAAAATTTAAGTAAAACTTTTTTTCGTATTAAATACATTTTCAAATAAAAAAACATTAAATATATATATATCCATCTTTTATTTAAATAAATGTGTAAAAATAAAATGGTACTATAAAAATAATAATATTAGCAGAGTTCGCAAAAACAGCAGTTATTAAAGAAAAAAATTTGAAAAAGTTTTTAAACAAATTTTAATTCTCTAAATGTGTCATTTAGTCTTATTAGTGTTTATAGTCTTTAATGTTCAGCAAACTTATGAGTAATTAATAACATTTTGGGGGAATCCATAAAGTACGTACGCAAGTTTTGAATTCTTTTTTTTTTAATTACTGTATGCAAACTTTTTTTTAAATTTCTTTTAAAATGTTAAATATGATGTAACATTTTAAGATTTAAATACTTCTTTAAGTAATATTTTAAGTTTGAATTAAGTACAGAGAATTTCTCTGTACTTATTTCAAACTAAAAATATTACTCAATGTACTTATTTAAAATATAAAATGTTACATCGTGTTACAACATTTTAAAAGAAATTAAAAAAAAAGTTTGTGTAGAGTAATTAAAAATAAAAGATTTCAAGATTTACGTACGTACTTTATAGATGGCCTCTTAGGTAACATGTAACTTATGAGCGCTAATTAATAACATTAGGTAACATGTAAGACATAAATAAAGTAATAAATAAATTTATTTAGATATATTATAAGATAAATCCAAATTTATTTTTTGAGTTTTTTATTACTATATAGTATAAATATAATTCAATATAATTCCATAAATATAAACAAGCTAAAATGAGATCTGCTAAGACTTGGACAGTAACTTGAACAGTGTCAATTTTCGCTAAATCATTTAATTCAATATCGAATTTGAAAATTTATCTTTGGAACAACAATGTATTGTTTAAAACATATACAATAAAGAAGCATGTATATACACATCAATAACACAATTTACACAATTGTTTCAAGTTTAGAAGATGTCTTTTTTTCCACAGAAATCCATTTTGAATCTATAAGACCTTGAGAATCTGTAGTCACATTTGAAGGAGGAAAAACTATAACAATAAAAATAAGTCAACGATAAGAGATTATATAATTAATTATATCAAATATAGCTAAACTTATCTAAATATACATTCACCTATTAAATGCTACAACTATATATCCCCTCTTGAGCTAAGGATTTGTTTATGTTGTAGAGATTTCTAAACTTTTAATTTCTTTTAGAATAAAAGCATATTTAAAGTAGGAATTGAGGACTAACTAGTGACACAATCTCATCTATATTATTAAATTAGTATGTGTTGTTATGAGGCTATGTAATTTGATAATTTGGGCAAGTAATTAGAGGCAAATGTAAACACCGTTATTGACACATATAAGGCATACTTAGATTAGCACTTTAACATCATATTAAATAGAGAGCTGCCTGAAGCTTAAGTACATGCATCATCTGATTTATGGAGAAAATGCCAGGGAGCTGTGGCTAAACAGAGAGCTAAATAAAAATCAACTGAGGGTTTGGGTAGGACAGCACTAAGTTTTTTTATTCCACTTTTTTCTAAAAAAGTGAGATGGAAAAAATCTACTATAGCATATTTATGTAAGCACTAGCTCATTTTTTTGCTCATCTAAATCAATACAGCTTTTTTAGAAAAAGAAAAAACGAAGAATAATGAATGAAAAGATTGCTGCCCATGTCAAACCCTCAGTCTCCGCTTCAAGTCAGGCATTTGTCAGTCAATGTATGTAATGTACCCCTAGCAGGCTATTCAGTATGTTGTCACACTGCTCACCTAAATTAGCAGTATATATATATATATATATATATATATATATATATATATATATATATATATATATATATATATATATATATATATATATATATATATATATATATATATATATAGGAAATATAACTAGGAAAAAAAACCTAAAATCTGGAACTATTTTAAATTGCAGAATAACATTGCAAAAACAAATAAAATAATATTTTACTCACATCGAGAAATAACATTTTTCAATCGATTTTTATAGTTATAACCAACAATAGTTATAACCAAAATGGAAGATACTGAACTAATAGCTATGATGAAAGCAGATATTTTGTTTTCTAAAAAGAAAGTTGAGCATTTTGTATATAATATTAACATATTATTGTTAATAAATTAACTGAATAAAACTTAGCAGTAACCATCAATTTTAAAATTTTGGAATTTGTTGAACGGGATCTAATATATAATAATCCAAAAACATAATAATATAAATGAAATAATGGTAATGATAATAAACTAATAAAAATATTACGCTTCTCATACATACATGGTCTAATAAACTAAAATATAATATAATAATCAACATCAACTCTCTTAGTCGCATCGAACATATATATATATATATATATATATATATATATATATATATATATATATATATATATATATATATATATATATATATATATATATATATATATATATATATATGTATATATATAATGTAAAAGAAAATAATTTATTAATATAAAAACTAATTAGTAAATTAATAAAATTTAAATTAATAAAACTTAAAAACCAGAATGTATTAATTTTTAAGGTTGCTACAGCAATATTTATAAATGCTATGATTATTTATATAAACAATAATATTTATACAAACAATATTATTTATACATAAAAAAATTATAATATTATAAAAATTATCATTTTTTACTAACATTAGTTTAAAATTACTAACATTAGTTTGTGAAAATAAAAACCTACTTTTGTTGCTTTTATGGAGAGCTATTGATTTCTCTTCAGATATTTTCTTTAGATGAGTATTATAATCTGTCAGTTTTCGATTTTCCTGCAGTGTATATTCAAGTGCTAAATTAGATAAAACAATATTTAAATAAACTTTAGTGTCTGTATATGAGTTAATTATATAAACTATTTAAAAATAAGAATGTGAATTCACATTTCAACAATTATGAAATTTAAACAAGTTTCCATAATAATATTTATTATATAAGTGACATAGAAGAACAAAGCAATTTTTTTACAATTAGACAAATTTTCTCAAATTAATACTGATAAATTGCACATGGTGAGCACAATAAAGAGAAGCAACCTTAGCAGACACCAATTTTTTATTTTTTTTTAAACAACTTTGTTTCCAACAAGTAACCACTAATTAGTGTTGCAATTTACTGGAAGAGAAAAGATGAAGATTGTAGAGCAAGATAATGATTGACAGACAACTTAAAAGATTGCAAATTATATGAATAAGGAAAGCAAGATGAAGGAAGTGAATTCCAAAGAACTGATGTTCAAGGAAAAAAACTAGAAGAATAAGAGTTTTTGGAGCACTTAGGAACAGTCACAGAAAAAGGATGAGACTGAATGACAAGTAACACGAGAATGAGTTTTAGAAGATGGCACAAGAGAAGCTAGCTCTTTAGAGTCAAAAATAGAGGAAAGTTATTTGTAAATAATAGTTCTTCTTCTGAAGGTAATAAGATCATGCCCATGAATTAGAGATAAAATGTTTGATTTACTTAGGTTAATGACAATGTTTAAGATTAAAATGTATGTATGTATGTATGTATGTATGTATGTATGTATGTATGTATGTATGTATGTATGTATGTATGTATGTATGTATGTATGTATGTATGTATGTATGTATGTATATATATATATATATATATATATATATATATATATATATATATATATATATATATATATACATGCCTAAAATAATTTAATTTTTAAATATACCTTAAAAAAAAAAAAGTATATATAATAAAATATAATAAAAAGTTCATGATAAAACATAAACACAAATATACTTTTGTTGGTCTCTAGAAGATCTTTTTCAATACGTTTATAATCCATATTGCTACAGCAACATTTCTGACATCCTGCATAAGATATATGGACCTCCTTTTGATTATCAGATGGACACTGACAAGAAAGTTTGCATTGTAAATAAGAACCATCTGAAGTTTTAAACTTGTCGTCATCGACGCATTCGACGAGACTTTCTATAGGGAGAGGAATTGTCAATCGCACAAAATAAGCTAGAAACATTATTCCAAAAATAAGTGTCATTGTTGGTAACTAGTATACTTCAAAATTAATAAATTTTGATTCAAGTGATGATGATTGTATCGCATAAGTAAGAGATATAAAATAAAATACATATCGAGGTACCTCTTAACTTTCTAAATAGGAAATTCCTTTGGAATATTTTCAAAATAACATTGAACAAGTTCTAGAGTGTTCTTATTGTTTCGGAAGTTTCCTTCAGAAATTTTTGGAAAAAAAAAATTAAAAAGAAATTCTGATGTGGAATTATACTTTTGCGACGCAAAAATGTACTTCCACATCAAAAATGACCAGACATCTTTTTCTCCACCAAATATGACCAGACATCTTTTTCTCCACCAAATATATCTCATCCACCAAATATATCTTTTTAGGAACGTGATTTCTCGAGACTTTGGCGGGAATAAGTTGGAAAAAATCCTAGTCCGTCCATTTTTCAAGAACCGAATTCAACAGAAAGACGATTTTAAATCATATGCGATTACCGAATATAAATGAAAAACTAATTTATACTGTATATGTATCCCAAACAGGCCCACTGAAAGGGGGGTACAGGCGGTGCACTGCTCCAGGGCCCATAGAACAATTGGGGCCCATTGACCAAAGCTTTTTTTTTAAATAATTACAATTCATAATGACAAAAATTTATTAGTGGCATACTTAAAAAACACATATTTTGCACATTTAGAAAAAGATATTCATACACTTAAAAGATGGGCATATTTTGGTCCCACTGAAAAATTCTTAAGAGAATCTAACTAGAATTCAACTAGATAAAGCGAAAATAAGGGGCACACAGAGAAAAAAAAGGAGAAATTTCTAGCTAGATTTATACGATCTAAATTCTAATTAGAGATTAAAGTACTATAATGTGTCCCTTATTTTCGCTTTTTCTAGTTAAATTCTAGTTAGATTCTCTTTTTCAAATTTTCTTTCATGCAGACTTAATTGAAAGTACATTCCTATTGTTTCTATAAGTTCAATGTGCAGCTGATAAATTTTAGTCTTTTCTCCTTTTCAATTTAAAAGTACATTCAAGGTTTTGCTAATAATTATTTTCTTCCAATATTGTGTAGTGTTACTGTAGTGTTGATATTGCTAACGGTAACGATTTTTATTTATAATAATTAATCAAAACCTTGATTAAATTAGTTAATAATTATAATTGACTTATTTTACTGTTAATAAATAACCTGTAAAGCAATATTATAATGTCTTATAATACTCTATTCTTCTTTATATTTAATAGCATGACATTTTTACAATTTTAATTTTAGAAATTATCGTGAACGATGCTGCGTTTTTACAATTCAGGATGTCAAAAAAGGAAAGAAAGACAAAAACATATTATGAATGAATAAAAGGATATGCTGACGCTTTTTGACATTAGAGTCACTGCATCAAATCTCAATGATAATGAACAAGAGGACACTGTTTCTAAAGCAAATGATGTAGATAAAATAAGAGATGATTTAACTGACTGTTTTGATGGGGAAAAAATTTAAATGTTTGAAAATAATAAAGATAATTCAAATGGGATTGAGACTGTAAGCCTTTCTGCTTCTAATTGTGATCAGGTCCTTCTTGATATTGGTAACCTTTTGAGTGAAATTCCTTCTCAATCTGAGATAGAAAAGTATGTCACAAATGACCATGTCGATTTTCCTAACATATTACCCAAAGATATTAACAATCAGGCTCAGACAATTTTAAATTTTTGGAATGTCAAAGGTAAAGTTCATAAAAGAGACTGGCTGGTTTGGAGTCAACATAAACAGGCATTATTTTGCTTTCCATGTCGATTATTTTCTGATAATATTTCCAAAAGCTCTGTTACTGAGAGAAATTTAAGTTCGCGATCAGTATTTGCTTCACTTGGTGGATATGCAGCAACTGGTAAATGGCGAAAGTTGTGTAACAGGGTTCCAGAGCATGAGAGGAGTAATGTCCACAGAGAATAATACCTAGCTTGGCGAGAATTAGAAAGACGTTTTTTATTTGGAAAGGATATTGAAACTTACTTGGAAATAAATTGCAATCAACGAAATGGTCCAATATTCTTAAAAGAATATTAGATGTTATCCTATTTTTGGGTGAACGTGGATTGGCTTTTCGGGGATCCTCCCAGCGAATTGGAGATGTAGGTAATGACAACTTTTTGGGTCTTATAGAGTTACATTGGGACCCTATACTTAAAGAGCATGTATTGTCAGTGAAAGAATTTCAGCGAAAAGGCAAAAGACTTCAAGTTCATTATCTATCAGGTGATAATCAAAATGAATTCATTGCAGTATTCTCAAATTTTTTGCGACAGCATGTTTTACAAGAAAGAAGATCTACTAAGTATTTCGCAATAATGGTAGATGCAACACCAGACTCGTCACATACAGAGCAAACAACATTCATATTACAATATGTAACATTAAAAGATTCACAATATGAAATTGTTGAACGATTTCTAACATATGTAGATTGCAACAATAAAACTGAAATATCTCAAATGATAGTGGAAACATTTCAACATAACTCCATTCCTCTCTCAGATTGCAGGGCACAAGCATATGACAATGGATCAAATATGGCTAGAAAATACAATGGTGTGCAAGCTAAAATACTTCAGTTATGTCCATTAGCACTATTTTCCCCTTGTGGATGTCACACACTTAATCTTGTGGGAAATGATGCGGCAGAATGTATTCCTGAAGCTGTAACATTTTTTGGAACGATTCAAACAGTATATAATTTTTTCAGCTCAAGTCCAAAACGATGGGAGATATTATCAAAACACATCAATTGCTCACTAAAAGGAATGTCGCATACAAGGTGGTCAGATCGTGTTGAAAGTGTCAAACCTTTTGCAGCACAACTTCCTGGGATTAAATTGTCATTGGAAGAGCTTTTAGAATTAAATTTGACTTCTAAAACAAGAGCTGAAGTAGAAGGTGCCTTATAGTATATTAATTCATTTTCCTGCATAGTAATGTCATCGATATGGTACAAAATTCTTGTTCCGATTGATTTTTGCAACAAAGTTATTCAAGCAAGAAATGCAACTTTAGATGTGGAAGTGGACAACATAAACCACTTACTGAGACAACGTCTTGAGCTTCGGAATAAATGGAAAGATATCTGGTCAGAATCAAAGGATGTTGCAATGAATTTGGATATAGAAGTCAAACTATTAAGAGGACGTGGTGGTGCAAATTGCAAAAGAGCCAGAGTTGTTGGCGAGCCAGAGGATCAAGGGTTTAGAGATTTAAATGAAGATGAGACCATGGAGGAATCATGCTTTAAAAGATTTGTTTTCTATGTGGTATTAGATAGTGTTATTGGTGGCCTTACTGTAAGATTCAAAGCAGCACAGAGCATTTCAGATAAGTTTAGCTTCATGTGGAATTACCTCAATATTGATTTGGATACATTGGAAATGATGCAAAATTATTAAGTGAAGAGTATTCAGCAGATGTTAGCAAAGATATTGTAATGGAAATAAAACAGTTAAAATCTTTACATTATGCAAATTTTGGATCGAATCAATTAAACCCCTTTGAACTCCTAAATTCGATTAGTCGAACTAATTTACATAGCTTATTTCCAAATATTTGTGTATGCTTGAGAATATTCGCAACAATTCCTGCTACAGTTGCATCCGCTGAACGCTCATTCAGCAAACTAAAACTGATAAAAAACTTTTTAAGAACTACAATGCTACAAGGACGGTTTGTGGATTTGGCAATGTTGAGCCTCGAATCTTCAATATCTAGGTCAATTGATTTTGACAAAGTTATTCGAAATTTCGCTTCAAAAAAAGCAAGAAAAGTTTTGTAAATGAATTATTCTTGGAATAAACTATTTGTTAAAATTCTGTTTTTATTAGTACTTGTATATTTGTTGAGATTGATTATTGTATTATTGAGCATGGTTGAAACGTAACAAATAGTCTGAATTTTTATTTCAGAAATATCCTTTTATCCAATAATGAAAGAAAAACTAATTACATAAAAAAACAAAACAATAATTCCAAACAGTTAATAATTATTCTTAAAATTAATATTCTTTAGTAAATGAAATAATTGTAACTAGAAATAAAACTGTACAAGATTGCATCCTCATTGTGAACAACTGCCGATTTCAAAAACCAATGTGGAATTAAACCACAATTGATTCAGCAAAAGCATACAGTAATACTTTAAAATATTAGAATTATGGGTAAAAGGCCCAAAAATATCTCTTGCACCGTCTAAAATTATGGCTCTCTGCGGGGCTGATCCCAAATTTAACTGAAAGACGAGGGTGTCATCCAATTTTGGGTGACACCCAATTTATTTATATCTTATACTTTATTTTGGTTTATAATTAAACAGTCCTAAATAAAAAAATAAGTGGGTATTTATTTACACGACCTACGAAATGCTGAATGCTGAAAGATATAGTTATCATTATTTAGAAAATATAATCGCTTAGCTTTCTTCTTATAATATAAACAAAATGAAATAAAGACTTAATGTCGCCTAAAAAAATTCTTCATAATCAAAACATACTCGGCAAATAGGGTGGCAAATAGGGTGGCAAATAGGGTGGCAAATAGGGTGGCAAATAGGGCGGCAAATAGGGTGGCAAATAGGGTGGCAAATAGGGCGGCAAAATAGGGTGGCAAATAGGGTGGCAAATAGGGTGGCAAATAGGGTGGCAAATAGGGTGGCAAATAGGGCGGCAAATAGGGTGTCACCCATATATTAAATATATGGGTGACACCCTATTTGCCGCCCCGGGTGACACCATAACTAGGAACGCCACTGATATAACAAGAAAGTATAAGAAAATAAATGCTAAACTCTGAAATGAACATTTCAAATAAAAAACTGTTACTGCAAGAACGAACAGCAGGTTTAACTCTATGTAGAATTTTTCACAAAAAGGTTTATCTTCGTGTGACCACTTGAAGATAAATATTCTTATGAAGTGTAACTTTCGTAATTGACAATCTGAAAATTTATATTTGTAAATTCTCGAATTAGTTTTATATATAAATCTGATCATTTTTTATGTAAGTCTTCACGAACCATATTATATTAGTTATTTACCTGTTTTTTTACTTTTAGGATTTTCTGAAAGCAATAAGCAGAACTGTGGAGTCGGAGTCGGAGTTGCGGAGTTAAAAAATAAAAAAACAGGTGAAGTATGAATGATAAAGGTATCTAATTTAGAGTTGAATACTTCGACTTCAAATACTTTTGATGCATCATTTTGATAATGAGGCGTGTTGCTAGGTTTGTTGTGAAACATTTTTGTTGTTCTTCTTCTTTTTTCAACAAAATCAGATTCAAAACCAAGGTAAGCAGCTATTTTTTTTGACTTGTCCAAGATGGAATCCCAGAATGAACGAATTTGAATTAAATCTTCAATCAATTCCTCTAAAAGTTTCATTTTGTCATCCTAATTGATGTTTCGTGGATTTGCTGAAAACATTGTATAAATCTGGATATTCTCTAAGTATAACTTAGCCGGAATAGATGATTCCACATCGTGAACCCCACATAAGCTGAGGCTATAAGCGGCACATGGAAGATAGACTGTTTGCTGATTCTTTATTTTAATCAAGGCTTGAACGCGCCTTTAAAGCTTCTAGCCATATTTGAATATATTTCAAGTAGAACATTAAGGATTAGATTGGCATATTGACTCCCACCTTCTTCTCCATCTCTTCTAGTTTTAAAAATCGGTACTGCTGCCTCAACTGCAGCTCCTAACTAAAGCGAAGGAAGCAAAAAAGAAAGCAGATCTATTCACGGTGTGAACGGTTCAGTGTTCCGTCAGTTATGATAGTGTAGTAGATGGCCTGATGTGTTTCTTTCACTGTCATAAGTTTCACCCATTTCTCATACTCTCCAAGAAACTCATTTTGCGAACGCCAAGATAAATAATGGGCCTGAGTACGCTTACCTTCTTTTTCTTTTTCAGCAATTGCTTTCAAGTGATCCGCTTTCAAGTGTGTGTTCAGCAACCAATTCTAAAACGCCAAGAAAATTGCCGTTTCCATCTTGATAAACTTTGTGATTAGATCATATTTATAGAACATTAAACTTTAATTATTAAAAGGAGGAAAAAGTCTGAGAAAGAGACTACAATAATTTTTAAATCATCAAAATACCTCTGAATGCGAGATTTCACAAAATACCTCTGAATGCGAGATTTCACAAAATACCTCTGAATGCGAGATTTCACAAAATACCTCTGAATGCGAGATTTCACAAAATACCTCTGAATGCGAGATTTCACAAAATACCTCTGAATGCGAGATTTCACAAAATACCTCTGAATGCGAGATTTCACAAAATACCTCTGAATGCGAGATTTCACAAAATACCTCTGAATGCGAGATTTCACAAAATACCTCTGAATGCGAGATTTCACAAAATACCTCTGAATGCGAGATTTCACAAAATACCTCTGAATGCGAGATTTCACAAAATACCTCTGAATGCGAGATTTCACAAAATACCTCTGAATGCGAGATTTCACAAAATACCTCTGAATGCGAGATTTCACAAAATACCTCTGAATGCGAGATTTCACAAAATACCTCTGAATGCGAGATTTCACAAAATACCTCTGAATGCGAGATTTCACAAAATACCTCTGAATGCGAGATTTCACAAAATACCTCTGAATGCGAGATTTCACAAAATACCTCTGAATGCGAGATTTCACAAAATACCTCTGAATGCGAGATTTCACAAAATACCTCTGAATGCGAGATTTCACAAAATACCTCTGAATGCGAGATTTCACAAAATACCTCTGAATGCGAGATTTCACAAAATACCTCTGAATGCGAGATTTCACAAAATACCTCTGAATGCGAGATTTCACAAAATACCTCTGAATGCGAGATTTCACAAAATACCTCTGAATGCGAGATTTCACAAAATACCTCTGAATGCGAGATTTCTTGATGCAAGTAATAAGGTAACTTGAATGAGACAACGGAAAATATTTTTCCAGCACTCAGTTTTGTTTGCAATAACTTTCTCAAGGCTTGAATCAATCCTTATATGATTGAACATTATATGACTGATCCTTATATGATTGCGTATGTTGTTTAGTGGTGTTTTCCATTCTAAATACGTTTGGCGATGGAGGCTACACGATTAATGAGACTTAATTTTTCCAACTAGTTTCCAATTGTCTTTGATACCACCTGTCAAAAATAAGAAAGACAACATGTTGTTCTTATACGGGTTAGAAGAAAATCCATAAAGAGAACAAGAAAGCAGAAAAGGGCGACTGTTGATTCACGCCATACACGCCGGTCTTTTTTCAGTTTCTTTCCATTTTGTAACACTTCGGTAAATACTGATGTTGGAAAGATGTGGTTCCTTGAATCTTTTGGAAGGTTTGCATGACTTAAAGGAGGGCCAATCAAAACAATGGTATCTCTATCTTTATTTGATAAAGCATTCCAAAGAACTGGGTTGTTAGATATGTGATTAGTTAAAAAGACAGGAATAGAAATGATCTTGTAAATGTCATTATCCACTTCTGGAAATGTTTATAAATAAAAATGAAAACATAAAACATCTTTTAAATAATAGAACTTTTTTTGAATTATCACTACTGCTTTCAGAATCAGATTCAAATCTTAAAGCCTATAAAAATAAATATATTTGAATATATCATTAATATATTATTTACAATAAATAAGTTGGAGCTGAGACTATTTTTTCTTACTGCTATTTTTTACAATTAGCTCCCATCAAAGATCAACGCTTGTTTTTTTCTTCAACAGCTTTTTTTAGTCTCATCTTTTTTCGTCCTGCTGCGCCTGATGGCTGCTTCCATTTGTTGAAGAGTTGGTTGTAGATTGATTGGTTTTTCTTTCATATTTAAAACACAAAACTATAGAAAAGAGTTCTATTTATGTAGTCTAATAATTGATGTATCAATTTCTACATAAAAAATTATCTAAAGGAAAATAATATGTAATGTTCATTTCAATTAACCATTAACGATTCACGATTGCATCATAAACAATTACTTGTAAAGCTCTCTTTGACAATCAATAATAATTGCAAAACTATTTCCTTGGAGATTAGTTCCCCACGAGGAATTCTCGCACGAATGAATTGAAATCCATAGCGTTAAACTTAACTTAGTTTAAAAAGTTGATTAGAGAAACTACGACCAATTTAAAATTATATAATTATAATTATATAACTTTAAACTGGTCGTAGTTTCTCCTATCAACGTTTTTAACTAAGTTTTTAACTAATTTCCGTATATCTAATAAATCATTAGAACTATAGTTCTAATAATTTATTAAATAAACGGAAATAGTTTAAGAAAAAATAGTTAAATAAGTTAAAAAAATGTTTTTACTATTCTTTATCCTATTGTTCACGATAACGTTACATGTAGTTTGCAATTTTCTAGCATGGTTTGAAGAGCTATTCAGAGGGCATATCATAGAACGTAAACACTGGTTTCTGAAGGAAAGAAAAAACACGTGGTCTCTAAATAGAGATTTATCTACCGTAAAAATCGTCTTAGGAATCAGTAATAGGTTTAACCAGATTTTTTTCTTTTTTTTCGAATATATTTTGGTGGTCATACAATAATATAAAAAAAATTATTCCATAAAAAAAAGAAAATATATATACTTATATAAACAGACAGGGGCTCAAAGAAGATATGGATGACCAGAGTCACCACAATCTTTTCATAGAGCCCCTATGTGAGCTTTAACAATTGAAAAGAAAATAAAGTTTGTTTTTAATAAAACATAAATACTCCCTTATAATCTTTAAAAAAATAACAAAATTCGGTAAAATAAAATAAGTAAATAAAACATAAAGAAAAAAAGACGATAAGAGGAATAAATTCCTTTAAATATATGAAAAAATTAGGTTAAAAAACGATAGTGTATATTAAAAAAAAAACATTAGTGTATATGTTAAGTTTCAAAGCTTTCATTTGATTTCAAAATTTCTTTTTTTATATAAAACTTAAATAAATTTACTGTTTTCACCTTATTGATGTGGTTATTTTTAAAACTGTTCCATATCTTAGGCCCTCGATATGTTATACTATATTCTTTGTATTTAGTTAGTTTACGAGGTAGTGTGTATGTGAGCCTCTCGTTTGATCTCAGAGAATAGTTATTGTTTTGATTTATCTTAAATTTGTTTCAAAGTTTTTTGATGTGAGATTTTTTCAATGATAATACATAAAGATCATGTGTTGAAATGTATTTATCTCGTATACATTCATCATCTTCATTACCCTCATTAATGGCTTTGCATGCTCAAATTTGTTTTTTCTGTATATAGTTGTGCAAGCATGTTTTTTTACACTAAATATCTATTTAAGTTTAGAGGGTTGTGTGCTTTCCCATTCAATTTTACCATAATTAATATAGCTATGAATTAGGCTCAAGTATAATAATTTAAGGCTTTGAGTATTAATTAAAGGACCAACTTTATACCAATAGTTTTTTTAATTTTTGATTTAATATATTTTATGTGGGAAAGTCAAAATAAGTTTTCATCTATATACATAATAATTTTTTTTTCTAAGAGTATAAAGCGGTCTACTGTGTCAAATGCTTTTGACAGATCTATAAAAATTCCTAGTTTGAGATGTAAACCTCAACCAAAACAAAAACCAGATTAAGATGTAAACCTTAGGAAACTTTCGAATGCAGTTTTTTGAAGCTCCAGATTTCTGTTACTTACTTTACAAAGGTTTCTGCTATTTTTCATCATGTTTAACAGTTTATCAAGATGAAACAAATTAGCCTGGGACTGTATAGTAAACAAGCCACCAAAGCTTTACATTCTTGTTTCAAAAGTCATTGAGAAAGATACAAAATAGAAGCTTTTCATCCCGACTACTCTCACCAGTTCCTACACTGTGTTGTTGGTTACAAAAGCAAAAAAGTGTGAACCAACTGCGCGGAACTGGACAAAGATACAAAAAATTCGAACAAGAAGAATCTGAAAAATATTGTGTTGTTAGAATTATTTATTGAGAAGTGTTTTTACGGCCAATATGTTTATTAATAAAAAATAGAGTTCTAAAATAATCCAGGAACCAATTCTGTGTATTTCTATTTAAAATTTAGATTTTTTTGTGTGAAATATTTTTTTTGGGGAGAAGTCATAAGTTGTTATAACTTAAGATAAATATCAGTTAGTAGAAAATGTTAATAACTCTGTTGGATTTCAATACAAGTTTTTGAAATCTCATTATGGTTACTTTATGGTATACAGTATCACTACTTTAAAGGATTTTGACGGAATTTTTCATTAGCATTAGGGTTTCAGGTTTTCAGGGTGGCTGTCTGCTTTTTTTTATATAGATTAAGCAAATGGATTTTCTGCAGTCTTTATGGTTTTTGGCAAACGTAGGCATGATGGAAATCAAATTTTTGGCGCGCGAAAATGAAATATTTTTTGCATGGACGTAAATAATAAGTACATGATAAGAATATGCTTAGGTAGGCTCTTTACAAGTACCTATACAAAGTTTAATGTGATCAGTTATCACATTGATAATTAAAAACTTGTCAAATGCATTTTTATGAGCTGATATCTATAATTAAATAACTGTCAAATTTAACTTTCTGCACAAAAAATCCAAATTAAATTATTTCAAATTATGATTTCAATTTTTAGAATATAAGAACCTTATAACATACACAACCATCGGTTAAAAAGATTTTGATTGGATACTTTTTCAGTATTAGGTCCCAGATTTCCAGGGTATGAATTTATTGTTTCAAAAGTTATAAAAGTCAATTAATTCTTTATGTTTTAAGAATAATTCATTTAACTGTTACATTTACCACGCATAAGAATATCAAAAAATTGTAAAAGAAATTGTATGATAACGCATGCAATCAGACCGATTAGTTAAAGAGATAAAAATGTAACATAAAATTAAAAACTTAAGTCTGAAGGTTAAAAACTTAAGTCTGAAGGTTAAAAACTTACGTCTGAAGTTAAAAACTTAAGTCTGAAGGTTAAAAACTTAAGTCTGAAGGTTAAAAACTTAAGTCTGAAGGTTAAAAACTTACGTCTGAAGGTTAAAAACTTAAGTCTGAAGGTTAAAAACTTACGTCTGAAGGTTAAAAACTTAAGTCTGAAGGTTAAAAACTTACGTCTGAAGGTTAAAAACTCAAGTCTGAAGGTTAAAAACTTACGTCTGAAGTTTAAAAACTTAAGTCTGAAGGTTAAAAACTTACGTCTGAAGGTTAAAAACTCAAGTCTGAAGGTTAAAAACTTACGTCTGAAGGTTAAAAACTTACGTCTGAAGGTTAAAAACTCAAGTCTGAAGGTTAAAAACTTAAGTCTGAAGGTTAAAAACTTAAGTCTGAAGGTTAAAAACTTACGTCTGAAGGTTAAAAACTTTCACCAAAATGATAAGATATGATACCTTATGTAATAATATGGATTTTTACAAAAGTGATAATATTTCAATATTTAAGTTGACCAAAACGTTGCTCAAAAATATGTTTTAGGCGCTTAAACTATCAAATTTATTATAAAAACTAAAAAATTAGAAATATTTATTGTAGACAAAATATACAAAATATGCTTTATAAAACATTATTTTTTTCATATTATTTGTTTATTTATTTGCAGAGCGCCTCAGATGTCATAAATATGATACGATTTAATTTCATATAAACATTAATGTAAAAAATCCAACTTTATTAAAGTCTGGTTTCTATTATATAGAAATGTTGAACTATATTTATATGATTTCGTTGTACAACAATAGTTGCAAAATTAATTTTATTTTCGCCACAATTGATAAATTTTGTCATAAAACAAACTTTAAGTTGAGTGAGTTACGGAAGAAATTGTTTATATATTAAAACCTAACTTTTGCGCAATTTAAATAATTTTCACTCTGTTACTAAATTAATAAAAAATGCAAAAAAAAAAGTTCTCAATAACATTCTTTTATGCTTAAAACTTTTCTCTCTCTCTCTCTCTCTCTCTCTCTCTCTCTCTCTCTCTCTCTCTCTATCTATCTATCTCTACAGAAACCAATAAAACTTTTGATTTTTGAAATTATTTGGCGTTTTCAAATTGCTAGTAAGACAATACACTTAGAAGCCAACTAAATATAGAAAAACATTAGCAAAAAGAACGTCGTAAGCAAATTTACTAACTTGGTTTTTAGGAAATTTCTTAGGGAAGTTTTAAGTTAGATTTTTGTTTCGGACATCTTCTCAAAATTTTCTTAAAATGATTCGTTTTAAAAGTTACTTTTTGAAGTACCCCCGATGTGTTCTTAATGTTAATATAGAGATTTTTTTTTTTTGAAAATTATGATCCGGATTAATATCCAGAAATCACTGATATATTTTTTATCAAGTTTTAACAATTGGAGTGGTATAAGTAAATACCGTAGCATCGAACATCAAAAAAAAAAAAGAAAAGTGTTTACTATGATCTTAAAAATATATTTAAATACATTATCTTATAAATATCTACATAAGGATTTTATACACACACTATAAATAAACTATATCATAAAAACAAAAATATTTTATTAAACGTTGGTGGCTATTTTTATTTCGTTCATAAATTCTCCTTTTTCATCTGCTTGGTAAGGCGGACCTAAAATAAATTACGCAAAATATATACACTAAAATCAAATTAAAAAAATATTTTTACATATAAAAATAGAATCAAAATCACAATCACGTGACTTAATAATTAGTTTCATTTTTTTGTTAGTTTTAAATGCTTTCAAAAAAGAAAAACTTACGGGAACTATAAGAATGTTTTCTGTGGTATATAAACATTAAAGCAAGTACGAATAAAAGTAGAGCAATAAAACTTAGTGAGCCATAAAAATAATTTCTCATTTTTGATAACTGTCGTTCATCTAGAAAAAATACAAAAAGTTTCATTTAATTAATATTAAGGAAAATAGGGGCAAGATTGCAACTAGTTTGAAAACTCTTAGTTTTATCAAAACGGTCACAGCAGTGACGCAATGTTAAAAAGTTGTTTATCAAAATGATAAAAAAAACTTTTCAACAATTGCAAACTTATTTTGAAAAAATTCTTGCTTTATCTTTATGCTGGGATATGCTGTAAAACTATTTTTTACTTCTGCAGTTGCGTTGTGTTTCTACTGCAGCAGCAGTGTATCTGCTGCTGCAGCGTAAAAAAATCAGTTAAAGAAAAGGAGTAGAGAGTCATTTATTTAAATTTTAAGTTTTTTTTACAACAGAATAAATCTCAAACGAGTTTAGTTAACACTATATTATTAGTTATCAAATAATAAACAAACCTTTTACTTTAAAATCCTTGAAGTCATTTATTTTTGTCTTGCTAACGTATTCGCAGCAACATGTTTCACATTTTTCATATGAAACATCTTGTTTTAAATCACTATTACACGAACAAAAAGCGCATGAGATCGGCCCAGCAGCAGTATTAAACATATACAAGCCTTCTTCATTTTTTCTGCACGATAATTGTTCGTCTGATGTTGATTTTGAAAATGTTTTTAATATGGATATGCAGGCAAATAAGAACAACCAAGATAGGTTCATTTTATCGAAGCAATATATTGCCAATCTGTTATTTTAAAAGTTAAAAAATTGCTTTTCACTCAAAGTCAAGATAAAATATATTCAGGTTTAACATCAAATTTATAGAAAACATGACGCAATAATTACTGGGGAATTTCCACAAGGAATTCCCATTACATATTAGATACAAAAAAATGAACAAAAAACACGTCAATTTTTTTCTTGTTGTTTATAATACGACACTTCAAAAAAATATTTTAATCTAAAAGCAAAAGTTATATTCGTAATACGATATCTTCTTACTTACACAGTATTATATTAGGTATTTTGTGATAGGTTATTACACAAAACATTTAAGAAGAGGTTTTGAGATGTGGAAATATTTGGCGTGTATGTTGATATTAAATCCAAATCTTCGAAAAGTTGATAACTTTGTTGAAATTTGACCAGAGACAATTTTATGGTGGTGTATGTGGTGTATGCAGTGCGTGACACACCCCTCCCCAAAGAAGACGATTTTCAACTTATATTGGGGTTTTTCCGGAGTATGGTCGGCTTTTTAACATTTGAGACATTTCATGCTGCAATTTTTTAATTTTGCTCTTTGTTTTTTTTAAGATAGCAGTTGGTATTTTTAAGGATTCGTCCCTTTATTTTATTTTTAGAATAGCTTTTTGATTTGATAGCAGGTAATATTATGAGTACATTTTAAATTACCATACAAAACAGCAAAATATAGTTGTTTTTCGAACAACTTTTATAACGTTTTTTTATAATTTTATAACGTCGAGCAACTTTTATTGATTTTTTAAGAGTAATTATTATATAAAACAATAGGCCTAAAAATCTAAAGAATATAGTTTAATTTTATCTTAAAGTTTAAATAAGATAAAAATGCAAATATTTGATATTTAATTTTAAAAAAATATATACTTAAAGTTTGCTTTTTAACATTTAGAAATATATATTTTTAATTAACCAACCCGGTGTTTGTTGTCGTCAAAGTTAAAGGTTTATTTAAAATAATTTTCTTCGAATATAGCTACTTTGACTTTTTGTAAATTTACATTAAATGATATTTATGTCATACATACATACATACATACATACATACATACATACATACATACATACATACATACATACATACATACATACATACATACATACATACATACATACATACATACATACATACATACATACATACATACATACATACATACATACATACATACATACATACATACATCATTTTCCTCATCATCTTTCTAATATTTATGTTTCTAATATTCATCCTAAAATAGTCTTCCGCAGTGCTCTGTGATAAGACCGTAAGGGCATCCTAATAACCCGTGACGGATACAACATTTTTTGGTGTTTGAGACTTCTAGACATGGAGTAAACTCCAAACATTTGTATGTTTATACTTATGTCAAATAATAATGCTTTGTAAAAAATTGCAACGATTGGAGGCTATGAACAAAAAACCCTAAAATTTTATCTCTCATTTTTGCAAAGCACCTTTATTTGGCATAAGGCATCGTCTATAAACTACGCAACATTAGATTTATTTAAAAAGCAGAAGTAGGAGATCTTAAGATCTTCTACGTGGCGATTTTTATTAAACATAATGCGCTAATTTAATTTTTCATGTTTTTTAAGGCTCTGCGATGGAAATTTTTATCTCTTTTGTTTTATTATTAGTGAAACTTAGCGTTGCTTAATTTATGGACGATCCCTAAGCATAGACATACAAATATTTGGAGCTTGCTCCATGTCTGCAGTTAAGCTATCTAAACACAAAAAAGGGCTAGAACCGTCACTGCTTATAACCACCAAATAAAAATACTCAGAATTATTTTATCGCAAATAGTTGAAAAAAAATATTCCAATAATTAATGAAAAGTTTCAAAAATTTTCAAAATATCGATATTTGATGTGAGGGGATTCGTATAGTGCTCCATTTCTAATATGCTCCCTATGCTAAGTTGGATCCAATGCTGAGTTGTTGATCTTACAATAGCCGCGTAGCCACAAACTCAGTATTAACCCAAGAACGCAAGGAAATGTTTTGTCTTGTTTTACTTATGATTTGAGCACATATTGATCAAAAAACTCTGTGAAAGATTTTGCTCTAATTCGTTGTTTATGTCTAAAAAACCTTACTTTTTCTTTGATAAATATAACAAACTTTAAATAAAATTATTTACCAAGAAAGCTTTTTTTTTTGTATAAGTATAAAGCCAATTTTTTTAATAATTTTGTTATGATGTCTATGATATTGTAATATGATTGAACAAGAAAGAGAAAAAGTAGAGAAACTATCAAGAAGATTTTTTACTCATTATCTCAAAGTATTTTTTTGTTATTAGAGGCCTCTTACTTGTTTTTTAAAAGTATTCACTTGTTTAATTTCTTTTATTTTTTATTCTTTTGTTTTCCTTTTAACCTTTTAACAACTTAATTACTTATTATTCTGGATTATTACAATGTATTTATATTAAGTGTACTACTAAATATTCATTTATGATTACTGCTTCTATGATATTTTGGTATATTGGCATGATATTGTTGTTTATGTATTTGAATTACTTAGATTTCTTTTTTAAAATACTGTTTTTTGCTATTTTTTATCGCAGTCATTATTATATACTTATTGCTATTTTTATTATATACTTAGTTGCTAATGTTTTATACTATGTATTATAGCCACTGCATTATTATCTTTTATCACTTTGAATTTATTATTATTTTACATTTTTTACTCTATACTGTACTCTAAAGAAGTAATCGAAGCTCGAAATAAAGATAATAAAAACATTCGCTTACAATACACTTGTATATAAAGATAATAAAAATATTCGCTCACAATACACTCGTAAATAAAGATAATAAAAATATTCGCTTACAATACACTCGTAAATTACTCTTTGATACTCATTAAAGAGTATTTAAGAGTAATTAGATAAATATACAATTAAAAATTAAAAACATGGTAATAATGTAAAAACATAATAAAAATTGGGTCTTAAAAGAAACCAGGACATATATTTTAAGATAACATCGTCAAGATAACATATTTCAAAATGTGTTATCTCGAGAAATTTTCAATACTTTGAGCTCAAAGTATTGGCGATCCTTGCAAAAATGGCTTTTTTTTAGTATTCAAATCCTCACGGAGGTCAGGGAAGTTAAAATTTTTTCAAATTATTGTACCTAATAATTAAAGATAAAATCTTCAAAATATGAAAGACATTTTTTAAAGGTTTTACAAACACGTTTTGTTAAAAATATACATAAAAAGTCAGTTAAATAAAAAGTTAAAAAAGTTAAACTTTTAAAAATAAAAAGTTGTAAAAAGTTAAACTTTTCTTACATTTTATTAAGTATTTCTTTAGACCAGTTACTTTTATAAAATGGAAAATTGTGTTTCTTCAAAACCAGTGAAATATCTTGCAACTTTTTCTCTTTTATTCTTGAATCGATAAACTCTTTTACCAATTTTTTTTTTACAACGGCCATTGACACAGACTAATCTTTTTAAAAACCTTTTCATATTTTTATCATCAGAATCATGAGTCCACAAATCGGATAGAATTTTTTACCACTTTGATAAGTAATTTATATTAAACATTAGATAAGAATTTTGACTATGTGATCATTATGTTTTAAATTTTTATCTGTTTCTAGACGCTTGAGCTTTTTAAGTTAAAAGATTTTAGAGACATTTCTTTTTATAAACTGCTGAACAAATTTTTCTGTAACTTTATTGTCAAACTTTTATCAGATAAACAAAAGACAACTTCAGAAAGATAATAACTCACGTTGCATAGCAACATGCTCTGAGACCTTGCAACACATCCCCAGAAATATTTTTTTCGTTTATTATCAGAAAACTCTTCCTTATTTCAAAAATATAAAAAGCAACTTTTTTCACCAGGGGCCTAAGGAGAAATCACTTATTTTAGGCGAGTGTCTAGTAATTTTGTTGTTCAAGATAGGTAACTAAGAGCTATGTGGCATACTCAAACTTTTAGTATGATAATACTGGTATCAAATGAGGATGACTTGCAAAAAGTTTAGGTAATTGGAGCTAACCCAATCCCATCCCGACCCCTAATTGCCCCCTTTCCCCTTTGAATGGTTGTAACTTTTAAACTAGGATTTTTTTTTGATGAAATTTGAAATCTGTCGATAAATTTTAATTTAGTTTAATAAAACATTTGAAAAGTTTGTTTTAGGAACCAAACCCTAGGGGTTGAAGTGGTTTGAAATTGGAGATATTCTTTAACACCACGAAATTGAATAAAAAAAACATGCCTGCGAGCATTTATTTCGAGTTTCAAAAGTGAAATTGCAAACTGAACTTTTAACTTTATTAATTACTTACTACTATAGCTATTTCAGTTATTACTATTATTAGATTTTAGTTACTACAATTACTATTTTAAATATTAACAATTAGCAACAGCTAGCCGTTGATATTTGTTAATAATTAAAACAATAACTCCTTACACGCATTGAATTTTGAACTGAAACAATGCTTTTGGTTATTAAATTGAAATTTAATTAATGGGGTCAATATATCATGTCAATATTATAAATCCACATCAGAAGTTTCAACTTAAAGCATTCATTTAAAATGCCATACCATGCGAAAGAACGCGTAATTTTGTTAAAATGTTTTGCATTTGCTGCTTCAGGAAACGCAAGGATTTAAGACCTATAAATAATGACGAAAAAACATTTATAAATCTAAATATAAAGAAAAAGACTATTCAAATCTTATCAACACATTCTGGAAAGATTATTCAGCTAATAACCTTCCTACCATGCTTTGCTCAAAATGTAGAAAAAAGCTTGCTGGGACTGACCCTCACTTCACTATGCGACCATGTTATGAAGGTAATATATACATACTTATATATAATATACTTTAGTTAAAATTTAGTTTCGTTATTATGAGAAAAATAGTTACTAAACATACGCTATGAAATTTAGACCTGAATACCAGAGTTATCAGAGGCAGAAGATGTGAATGTTTTGTATGTGAAAATAAGCGCAAATCAACTAAAACTACTTACCAGGTAAAAATTTGGTGC